AAGTTTGAGAACCCCTGGACTAGATGATCTAGTGATCCCTTTTGGCATTAAACTAGGACTCTATACATTATTCCATTAAAAAATGTTAGAAGGACATTATTAAGTTTCAAAGTTAAACCCTCAAAAGTTTAAGACATGCCAGAATTAACTGTTTTAATGTTTGTGCTTAACATGACCCACATATCAAGAGCACACAGAACCAGACTGTAGTGGAGTTCAGCATAGCTCATGATTTGAAGGAGCAGAATGCTCAACAAAACAGCAGCGGTTCCATGGTGCCAGGCAAATTGTTGAAAAGCAACTAAATATGTATCAATGAGTTCCTGCTCCATTCCTTTGCGTTTCAGATGGGTAAGCCACTCCTTCCCCTCAAACATAGTTAAAGATGCAAATGGTCAAGCAGCAGCCTAGCAAAAGCCTAAGGGCCTGTGAGGAGAATAGAAGACACTCAGATTTTTTCCAACTTCAAAGGAAAGCAACTGTCACAAAGGTAAGATTGATCTGAAGATTTTAAAGAAAGGAAGACTTGTATGTGAACTCCCTTATCCCTGAAATTCTGGTTTTATTTTTTGTTTGGTTTTGGTTTTATTACTTTTACATTAGATCCACAGTCATTTCATAAAGATATATTTTAGCTTCATATCTTGGCAAACAAGAACTGGACTGCAGAAACACACTGCAAATTAGCCCAAGATAATTAGCTTCTTTTATAGCCTCCAGTATGCTCATGCATCTGAGGAAGTAAGTGAACTTTTTCCATTCTCTCAACACAGGTTCAGAAGATAATTAATGCGGCTCTTTTCTTCTGCTGCTTTTCCTTACAATTATTTCCCCATCTTCTGTAGACAGAAATATTGCCTCCTGTGAACCTACTAGAGCAAGCAGTGACAAAGTCAATGTCACTACTGACATGCTTGAAGTTAAGCACACACTTAAATGTTCTGCAGGATCATTTTGACAACCAGTTTTGGTCACTCATCACTTTTTTTTTTTAAAAGGTGTGAAACAAGGGCTGCTAATGATAAAATGAGGCTTTTCCCATAGAAAATGGTTCACAATAGACAGCAGAAATTGCTTATCAGGAGGAACAAGTCCAAATTAGTGACACGATTCTTGAAGATGTACAAGTTTATTTTCAGCCATGACAGGCCTATGTGAGCTAAGATGATCCTTCCATAGTGAAAATAAGTGTTAGCCTCTTATTTAAAAGCAATCTGCAAGCTCTCTTAGTCTTGTCTAGGTCAAACACAGGAAAGTTTTACAAGGTTATATAGGCATCACATACCACTCTAGAATAACTCTGCTAGTGTGCTTTCTTCAAATCCCCTTAATGTGGATGCATGTTCTTAAATTTCAGTTGCTTGAGTAGCTCTCCTACTCTTGTATGGAACATAAAACTGCTTCCAGTTTTTGAATCAATATACTCCTCACCTGCAAAGACCATTGGTTTCGCTGATTTAAAGCCAGGCAAAGGCTCCACTGGCTGCTTATGTAAATACAGCGTGTCTCCTATTTGGGCTTCCGTAACCTCTTTCATCCCAGCAATCAGATAGCCCACCTGTCCAGCATATCTAAATAAAATTGGCATTATATGGAAATATTTATCTTGTTTAACAATATTTCAAGTTTCTCCCTCCGCAGTTAGCCCCCTCAGGAATATAAGCACATGTTCTCCCCCAAAGTGCACATACTCAACCCAAATTGTTCCTCCCTTGTTTACATACCCCTAGAGACTCTCTTTACAGATGGATCTAGGACCTAGTTACTATTCGAGGTTAAATGTCTATTTGAGGCTGAGTTTTTGGATTTCCAGCCCTACGCTGTTTCAAGGCAGGGGCTGGGAGGTACTTTTCTGACATGTAGGACACAGAAACCAAAGTAGTATCCACACACTACAAAGTCAGTTTCAGATACAAGGAAAGGATTGCTTGGGCAAGAAGCAATGTCACCCCTCTGTTTGCCCTCAAACCCCAGTAACTGCCTGGGTTGTGGAAGCAGGTGGATCACCATCGTATGCTGCTGGTGGTATGGGAATCCAAGGTAGATGGTTAAATGTAGAGTTGTGCAGTCAGCAAAGCAGGTAGTTCAGACTTCCCCAGCTTCACTGAAAACCTCTGAGAAGGGCCTTTAATCAGCATTCAGCTGCAAATTTTGTCAGAACTTACCTTCACTCTTTGACTACGGCTACCTGCTTTCCCTCACACTGCAGGGGAGATGAACTACTTTTCAACAGCAGTTGCACTAAGTCAAGTAGACTTACACTAAAGGCCTTCCCTGTTTGGTTAGATAAACGGCTTCCTGCCTCACTTGCTTTGACCATCAATCACAGACCACTCTCCATGCTGTTCTGCATTGCAGTTATGCACAGAACTTCAACGGGTGTCCCAGCAGCAACTATAAGATGATCCCCCCACCTTCCACTCTTACCCAAGATAGCCTCTATGGATGAATTGGAGGCTCAGTCTACATGTTCAGCATGCTATTCAAGCACTGCTCTGATGGCTTGTGTGTCCGAGATATCAGATCAGTGCCCCCAGGAAATTTAGGTGGGAAAGGACTGGAAAATAGAAAAACCCAGTACACAATTTACTTTTGCTCCATAACAAGTGTGAGCACCAGAGTTATGAGTGCTTTCACAATAATTAAAATACCATCAGTACTTAGGCTGCCCATTTAGCTGTAGACACCCTTTAAAAAGAAATCATGTTTCCCTACTTTAAATAAATAAAACCTCTACCTATTTTTACACCTAAAATGCCCATTCCCCTTAGACTCTCTCTACTAGGGGAAGAGAGAGTAACACCAAGTAGATGGCCATGATTGTTAAAGAAACTAGCAGGATGCTCCCAGACCAAATGGCCTTTATTCTCTTATTATTATTTTATTTCAAGGGGTTGTGATTCACCACCACAGGAGTAGTTATGCATTCTGAAAACCTTTTAAAACCATATTTATGATTTTAAAATATAAAATCAGACTTCAGGATTTTTAGAGGGTGGCTCATTTCATTTTGTTCTTCCAGTTTCATTACATTAATGTGATATCACATTGTCAATCGTGTTGGTTTGATGGCAATGCATTGTGTTGTTAAATGGGAGGCATAGTGCGTCATTGAAAGTAAAACTTTTATCATCTATTACACACTAAACATATGTGTGAATTGACTGATCATTAAAGATGCAGGATTGATAACTCAGGAGGCTGAAGGTGTTTTTCCAAAAGTGTCTAAGTGACTTCTGATCATAAGTCCCATTGAAAGTCAATGATGTTTTTCACTCCTAAGACACTTAGGCATTTTTAAATCATCTTTTTAATTGAAGAACCGATATACAATGAGCAACAGCTATGCAGTAAGCTCCTAACCTAAACTTGTGCCTAAGTCATATTGATAGCTCTATAGATGAAAGGGTAGTTCTGTCACCAAATCCATTCAGTCCTTGATTTCTCTCTGCTCACACTGCAAAGAAGGGTCCCAACAGTGAAGCTGGTGGTTTGCATGTATGTGTTGTGGACACTTGCTTACTAGAATTGACTGAGAATAGCAACTCAAGCCATGAAGCTCCTAGACAAAGAATTTCAGAGTGGGATTTTCAAAATGCTCAGCATTGGCCTAAATTTAAATGGAACAGTGAGAAACAATGCTGAATGCTTTCAAAGATCCACCCCGTCTCAACCATCCAAGGCTAAAACTGAACAGATGATCTAGAGATTCAAGACATTATATCAGATTATTCTAATACTCATTTATTATGGTTTTTTCCCCCAAAGAACTTCTTACTTACAATTTATGAGTTGGCTGTTCATTTGGCGTCAGAATTCCTACTTCGTTAACTTCATAGGTCTTCCTTGTGTGAGCAGACACAATCTTATGTCCTTTCTGAACCTCTCCACCAAAGAGCGCAATGTTAGCTATGACACCCCTGTAGTGGTCGAAGGTGGAGTCAAATACCAAGGCTTTCAATGGGTCTCTAATGTTAACACTGGGTCTATTAAGAAAAATGTAAAAAATACATTTAATATGTATTAAATAAGAACATGAACTGTAGACTTTTTCATTGAAAGTCAAATGTAAATTCATCTGTTTCAAAACATTCAAACAAAATGTTCATACAAAAATAGATGCTAATCTAAAGTGCAGAAAACAAAAATCTTGAAGCTGTGTGAAATTGGAGATTTGCTATTTATGGCATACAGAATATTATGAGAAGATTTTTAAGTCATTCCATATTTCCATGTCTGATCATAAACCTATGCCAGCAGACTGATCTCTTAATAATATTAATGTTCCAAATTAAGTGTATTTTGTTTTTGTCGCTGAGCTTTATTTCATGATGGCAGAAATTAATTTTAAACCATTAAAGTGTTTTTTCCCCCACTAAAGTTCTGATCATCAAGAATATCACACTGATACAGTTCTTCCATCCCCCACTGACTTCATTATCGTTTAGGTTCTGTTTGGCATTTATCACTGTAGATATTACCCAATAAGAAACAAATAGAATTAAAAGCAAAATGCTGATTTAAATTTGAACTGGGATTTAGCAGCCTTTCTTGTCATGCTGACAATGGTCAAATTCCCAAATAAAAGTCTCGATTAAACTGCAGTTCAGGCTGTAAAAGCTGAAAATGCGTATTGGTAACTCGGGGCCCTGGAACAATTATGTAACGTAAAGTAATGTAACTAAACAATGTAATGCTCAGAAGAGAGTGAAAATCTAAAACATCTGATTAAATATAAATATTTCAGAAATCTGTGCTTCCCTGGATTGATCTCCAGTTACTTACAAAATAATATCTGGGGGAAGTACATCATTTCTAAAAAGGAAATTTAAATAACCAATCACAAAAATGGTCTTGCTTTCTCTCTGCTCCCTTGTTTGTGGGCTTACAGCAGTAGTGTTAGAATGTAATGGATTTTCTCTCTCTCTCTCCACTTCATATAATGTCACCTATGTTAATGGTTTTTGTGTTATATTCATCTTTAATAATTCCCATATATACGGGGGTAGGGGGGAAATACACACACGGTTGAAAGGATTTACCAAGCAATGAAAAATCTCTTTTCTCCAAATTTCATTCCTCAAAATGAAATGAAATCTTGTCCTAGTCACCTCAAAAACAGGAATCCCACCCTCCCAATCCAGTAACAGCAAACTACAAGTGAGAAATTTCATGCAGAACAGATTTGGTATAAGGAATTTAAAAGGGCAGCTCAAAAATCTGTCTAGTTACCAAAAGCTAGTTACCATCATAAATGAGCAAAGTCTACCACTGGCTCCATAAAACTCATAAAACACCAAAACTTACGGTGGAACCTTTTCAATAACTTCCTGAAGAACCTTTTCCACATTCGTTCCTAGTTTAGCAGAAATCTAGAACAAGTTCAGAAAAAAGTTTTATTGGGAATAAGTCTGCTGATATGTATTATCTATTAAATTGAAAATGAATGCCATCTTAATTTTGACATGTTAAAAGTATGATGCTTAGCTACAGACTCAATGGGCAAGCTTCTGGGCATGTTAACTCAAGCCTTTGTTAAGCTCTATTAAAGGAACCTGATATGTCACAAACATTCTATAGTACAGAAACAGACACATCTCATGCAGAAGAAAAGATGTCAGAGAAAGAGAACATGATAGAATCTGGCATACACACAGTACAGGAAATAATTTCAAAATTTTCGTTGAAGCCTCTATCCATTAGTCCCAAATATCTGATACTTTATTTCAAAGTGTTTTCATTACTCTTCTGTTTTCTAGATGGACGTTAATCTCAAAAAGGACCTTTTCCCTCTCCTTAACACAGTAAGAAGAAATATACAGTGCATAGAAAAAAACCAATTCAGGAATCGATTAACCTTTTTAAATATCAGAGAGGTAGCTGTGTTAGTCTGTTACTTTTTTAAAGAGTGCACATTTTTCATTTGCACTCCAAACAGAATTTTAAGAAGTCTAATAATCAACCAGTTGCTAAACATCCAGATTTTTAAAAAAAAATTTTAAAAGATCTTACCCTAATACATTTATCTTTAGAGATATCAAATAGCTTTTCAATTTGTTTCTCAACCCTTTCAGGGTCTGCATTCTTCAAGTCAATCTACAAAACAATATTCTTGTTACACATTTGAAATACAAGTCTCTCTCTCACACACACACACACACACACACACTTCTTGCATGTCAGAATTCTAGTTCACCAAAATAAAATTTAAAAAAAAGGGGAAGGGATCATGAATACTGCAAGTAAATAAACGGCTGTCTTTATCAGAAGGATCCATATTAAAGCACACCCTAAAATGAGTCTTAAAATAGTCCTCCCATCTTTTAGAGACCTGCATATAACAACAATTCTTGTAGAATAGTGCTAACAAGACTGCTAGTAAGGTATAGACAGGGCACAAGTTTCAAAATCGCTTTATAAACTATGCTATAGCCCAGCACTGTAAAGTTCTATTTGCTTATTCACCTCTGGCAAGACTTTTTTTTTCCCCTTTGGTGCCTTTGAAGGGGATGCTTTACTATAACAAAAAATGATTAATAAAAAGAAGGGAAGTAGATTTTGTACCTCAGTTGGAAAAATTCATGTGATGTTGCAAGTCTGCATCTAGCACAAGGGTAAAACACTACTCAGCCTTATTTCCAGCGCAGATATTGAGAAAATTTTACATCCACATATTTCATTTCACTTAACTAGATAATCAATAACCTATCTCCTGCTTTTCCACCCACACAACCATACAGATAGATCTTGTCATTTGTGGAATGTTTTTTGTAAAAGCTCATTAAAGTATATTTCTTGAATACTGATTAGGTGATAAGCCAAATACTCTCACGCATGTATCACCTTTGAAAACAGAAGGGGGTGTGACTGGAAAAGCATGCTGGAATACAATGAACACCAGGGAGGAAGTTAAGTGATCTTTGTAGAAAGCTGGCTGTGTGATTTGCCAGAAATTAAAATAAAGATAGAGAATTTTGTAACAGATTGACGTACAGTGTTTTAAATGAGTGCATTTTCATCACGATGGGCTGCAATGTTATTAAGCAAATGTATCAAGAAAAAGTACCATCACATTTAACATTAATTTTACCTTTCTTCATAGTTTCAGCAGAGGTAAAGAACTGAATAGAGTAAGGGAACACCATCTCACCCACAATGCTTTTTTTTGTTTCTCCAGATTAAGATTCGGAGTGAGTCAAGCTCAGAAGTGATGCAAGTTACATGTTCTTAAGTACCCTACGTTAACATAACTTACACCCCAATGGGCTAAAGATGCACAGTAAACGAGGTGAGGGGACAGTTTAACTTACACCCTCCAGTTTGGTTTTGCCTTGACTAGGATTTAAGGTGTATTGTTAAAACACATTAGCTAGAACTCTGACGTGTCCTAAAAATCTAGCATACAAGGCTGTATTAACTTAATCTTTCATTGCTGTCACCCAAGTAAAGTTTCTACCTATCATACTGTGTAAAATGACACCTTTCACAGCAACTAAAATTCACTGCAAATAACTTAAAATACTAATATACCATATTTATTAAAGATTGGCAGCTTAAAACACAAGTAAACTTCACTCCATCTTTTTTGTTGCATCCTTCAATTTGGTGATACATTTCTTGTATTTCATAATTTTGTCATGGTTATGTAAAAATTGCTATTTTATATACAAGTCTAAAAGATTATTACCTTGTTTATAACAGGAATTATTGCCAGTTGTGCTTCAAAAGCAAGATAGAAGTTTGCCATCGTTTGTGCTTGAATACCCTGGAAAGTATTCATAAACAACATTTTATTACCCAATACTACTATGTTCTGTGTTTAGGGTGTTAACAGATAAGCAGCCTATTTTCCTATTACACACATCCCTTCTTTTGGAGAGGTATTATTTTATTTTCTTTAATTGGTTTTCAATAATACACTTTTAGATAATGGTAATATAAAAAACATGGAAATAATGTAATAGTAAATGTACTAAAGCTGAAAAATAATTCCCTTCTACAATACTGTATGAACCTAGTCCTGTTCAAAAGATAATTGGATGACACTTAATATTAAGGTTCTGTTTAAAAAAGGTTAAAAAGTAATAGATATTTGAATAAAGCAATTGTTATAGAATCCAGTAGGGCAATAGGTTGCTAATAATCACCTATAACACCTTCTACTGATGTATTTATAATTAGAGCTGTACAAATAACTGATTTGTTAGTTGGTTGGCAGTTCTGTAAAAAAAGTCATTTCTGGTCAACCAAAACTGAATTTTTTTTAGAATTTCCGAAAATTTGGAAAAAATTTCAGGTCAAACAAAACATCCAATCCAACCTGCAACAAAAAATTTTGGTTTTGGGCACTGTTAAATTTAATTTAGACTGCTAGGTAAGAGATTAAGTCCAGGACCTCCATGGTACAATTCTCCAAAATGCTTCCAGTTACACATACACAGATCCAGAACTGCAAGGTTTCAACAAATGGATGAGATGATAGTATAGGGAGGAGAGTTTTAGGTTTATTAGTAACTGGGGAACCTTTTGTGAAAAGAGGAGCCTATGCAGAAACGATGGACTCCACCTAAACCAAAGAGGAACAAAACTGCTGGCATGTAAAATTAAAAGATTGTAGAGGATTTTTTAAAGTAAGGGCAGGGGGAAAGCCAACAGGTGCGGAGGTACACACTATTTGGGCAAAGACATCCTCTAAGAATGAATTTATTAAAGGGGGAACTCTATATCCAAGTAAAGAGGATAGGAAAGATGTTAATAAAGTACAGATAGGAGCTAGTGTGGAACAGTCAAATGAAACAGTTCCATTTAAACATCACACATGAAGGCAAGCAATTGAATATTGACAAAATGTACAAGTACCTATATACAAACGCTAGAAGTCTAAGTACTAAGATGCGTGAATTGGAGTGCCTAGCATTAAATGAAAATATTGATGTAATAGGAATCCCAGACACTTGGTGGAATGAAGATAATCAGTGGTACACGGTAATCCCAAGAAACCAAATACACACAAATGACAGAGTGGGGGAGGAGTGGCACTGTATGTGAAAGAAAGCTCAGAGTCAAACTAAAAATCTTAAATGACTCAAACTCTAAGGATAGAAATTCCATGCTTGATCACTAACAGTATAGCAATAGGAATATATTACCTACCACCTGACCAGGATGATGACTGACTGTAAAATGCTCAGGGAGATTAGAGGGGCTACAAAAACAGAAAACCCCACAGTAACGGATTTCAACTATCTTCATCTCGACTTTGTACATGTCACCTAAGAAAGGGATGCTGACACCATAAATGACTGCTTCCTGGAGCAGCTTGTCCTGCAACCCACAACAGGAGGAGCAATTCTTGATTTAATCCTAAATGGAGCAGAGAATCTGCTCCAAAAGGTGAATATAGCTGAACCGCTCAGTAATAGCATCTATAATGTAATTAAATTTAAACATCCTTGAGGGGAGGAAGGGGATGAAAAACCCTCACCACAGTAGCATTTAACTTCAAAAAGGGGGATTACACAAAAATGAGGAAGCTACATAGACAGAAATTAAAAAGAAAAGTCATAAGCGTGAAATGCCAGCAAACTGCACAGAGACTATTTAAAAACACTGTAAGAGAGGCACAAACTACATGTATACCCCAAACAAAAAACAATAAGATAACCAAAAAAAGGCCACCATGGTTGAACAGCAAAGTAAAAGAGGTAGTCTGAGACAAAAAGGCATTATTTCAAAATTGGAAATCAAATTTTACTCAGGAAAATAGAAAGGCGCATAAACTCAGGCAAGTCAAGCGTAAAAGTATAAGGTAACAGGCCAAGAAAGAATTTGAAGAGGCAACTGGCTCAGGACAGAAAAATGAAGAGCAGAATTTTTTTTAAGTACACCAGAAGCAGGAAGCCTGCCCAAAAAAATCAGTGGGGTCACCAGATGATGGAGGTGCTAAAGGAGCACTCAAGGAAGACAAGGCCATTGCAAAGAAGCTAAATGATTTCTTTGCATCGGTCTTCACTGAGAGGATGTGGGGGAGATCCCCACAGCCGAGCCATTTGATGTCATTGACAAATCTGAAGAACAGTCACAGATTGAGATGTCAATACAGGAGGTGTGGGAACAAATTGATAACTTAAACAATAATAAGTCATCAGCACCAGATGATATTCACCTAAGAGCTCTGAAGGAACGCTAATAGGATATTGCAGAACTACTAACTGTGTTACATAGTCTATCGCTTAAATCAGCTCCTGTGATCAGCCAGATACCCAGACTGAGCAGCTGCCAGCCAAAGGAGTGGCTGCAGGCAAAACAGACAATTAGGGCGGTGGCTGAAGACAATTAAGGTGGTGGCTGGACCATCCAGTCAGGGCCCAGCCGGCCAATATAAAAGGAAGCTGCAGATCAGAGTGAGTTAGTCTACTACAGGGAGCCCTAGGGAGAAGAATGGTATCCTAGAGGGCTACAGTACTGAGGGATGGGCAAGTGCTAGCAGGGAAGGAGCAGCTCGGCTGTGCACTGCCAAGCTGTTGTGAGAAGTGGCTGGGCTCTTGTTGGAGGAGTCCCCCCGGGGGGAACCAGACGTTGACATGGCTGGAGGGCTGTGCCATGAAGCAGATGATGAGAGAAAGGAGCTGTAACGGGTGCGGAGGCGAGGATGGGAAAGCCACCACCACCACCTGAGGGTGCACCAACTGGGACTGAGCTTATTCTGGAGATGCCCAGTAGGAGGCGCCAGTGTGATGAGTGACCCAGTAGCTAAGTCACACTGATTTTTTAAAAAAGCTCCAGAGGGGATCCTGGCAATTACAGGCTGGTAAGCTTAACTTCAGCATCTGGCAAATTGGTTGCAACTATAGTAAAAAACAGAATTATCAGACACTTAGAGGAACATACACCGCTACCTCGATATAACGCGACCAGATATAACACGAATTCGGATATAACGCAGTAAAGCAGTGCTCCAGGGGGGCGGGGCTGCGTACTTCGGTGGATCAAAGCAAGTTCAATATAATGCGGTTTCACCTATAATGCGGTAAGATTTTTTTTTGGCTCCCGAGGACAGCGTTATATCGAGGGAGAGGTGTATGTTGGGAAAGGGTCTACATGGCTTTTATAAAGGGAAATCATGCCTCACCAATCTAGTATAATTCTTTGAGAGGGATCAACAAACGTGGCTAAAAGTGATCCAGCAGATATAGCCTACTTGGACTTTCAGAAAGCTTTTGACAAGGTCCCTCACCAAAGGCTCTTAAGGAAAGTAAGCAGTTATGGGATAAGGAGGAAGGTCCTTTCATGGATCAGCAACTGCCTAAAAGATAGGAAACAAAGAATAGGAATAAATGGTCAGCTTTCACAATGAAGGGAGGTAAGTAACAGGGTCCTCCAAGGATCTGTACTGGGACCTGTGTTGGTCAACATATTGAAAAATGATCTGGAAAACGGGGTGAACGGTGAGGTGGCAAAGTTATCAAACAATACAAAATTACTCAAAATAGTTAAGACCAAATCTGACTGCAAAGACTTAAGAAGAGATCTCACTAAGCTAGGTGACTGGGCAACAAAATGGCAGATGAAATTCAGTGGTAAGTATAAATTAATGCGCATGGGGAAAAAATAATCCCAATTATACGTACAAAGTGATGCAGTCTAAATTATCTGTAACCACTCAAGAAAGATCTTGGAATCATCATGGATAGTTCTCTGAAAACATCCGCTCAACGTGCAGTTGCAGTCAAAAAAGCTAACCGAATGGTAGGAACCATTAAAAAAAGGATAGATAATAAGGCAGTGAATTATGATATTTTCTATCAATATGTACTCAATATATTCATAAATGATTTGGATCATGGCATAGAGAATACACTTAAAGTTTGCAGATGATATTAGTGTTTGAAACATGGTTCTAACAGCTAATAATCATTTATTAACCCTTTATAAACTATTTATAAATGAAACCTTAATATAAAGTGTGACAGATAATTGTACAAATCAATCTCATTTCAATGTTCTATAGCTCCATTATTGGGAAGCACTTCAGATTTCAACTGCACATCCTATTTGAAATTAAAGTTTAATTAAAAACAGTTTAACACTATTTACCTGCCTACAACTACTGACTTAGGTGCGCTTTCAGAAATATAGCAAGATCTAATGTTCTCTGATATCCTGTTGCTTTAACAAGATGAATTTTCCTGTAAATAACTGTTTACTAGATATCTATTCTGGCCCTCTAAAGAGGCACAAGCACAAATGTCATCAAAGTTATGTTTTTAGCAATACTATAGTATAGCTAGAGTTAGGAATGTCTCCCCAGAGCAAAATTTTAAATTCAAAATCTCTAACAGTTTGAAGTGCTGCTGACTGTATCACAAAACTAAACAAAATGAGTAGACTCTTCTTACACTGGTCTGATTTCAATTGTTACTGCATTAGAATTCCAGAATCAACTTGGCTCGGGGGCTTTATCCTGTGAGCTGCTGAGCACTTCCTGGAAGAAGCTGAGTGCCTTCAACTCCACAGACTTTACTGGAGTTGAAGGCACTACTCAGCCCAGAGGATGAGTTCAGCACTTTGTAGGAAGCAGGGCACTAATCTTGCAATATTACTGGTTAAGCTTATTACATGTTCATTTCATAGGACGAGCGTATCCACAGGCACATATCTAATTGGTACTTCCTAAGTCGCTTTCTCATTCTTTGTCTGGGGTGGCAATAGCACTTTTTCCAAAGGGTAAAAGGGTAACAAAAGTGGAAGTTTAAGCGACTTAGGAAACCTCATAAGGTAATACTTTTTACTATGTAGAACAGGAGAATTTGGAACTCTACCTCATTTGCATCCACTACAAGAATGACACCTTGACAGGCAGACAGTGACCGTGATACTTCATAGCTAAAATCTACATGACCCTGTGAAGAAAAATTGATATTTAGAACTCCAAGAACAACTTTAACTAGAGTCATTTGCAGTAAGTCTCTGGTTGATTTCATCTGTATGATATTAACACATCAGCTCCAGCCTCTGTGGAGGAAAAATATTCAGGATTAATTTACAAATGTAATACCACAGACTAATGGGCAAACCTAACATTTCAAAAGAGTAAGAGTATTTAAAAGTAAGGACATTTAGGTTCCTGTGATTTTTAGCAATATTTATACTTAACTTACTGGTGTGTCAATGAGATTTAAGAGGTAGTTCATTCCTTCATAACTGTAAAAGAGAGATGCAGTCTGTGCCTTAACTGTGATCCCTCTTTCCCGTTCCACTTGCAGTTTATCCAGCACTTGTTTATTTTGGTCAGTTTTAGCAATTGTTCCTAAAAACACATGTTTTAAAAATTGAATTTTACACAAGTATAATTTTGCACTGTCCGAAAGGAGTATGGTAGCTTCTATTTAGTTTCTAATAAAGACCACTGCAAACTATTGAGTGATCCAAGGGGAAAGGATTCCTTCCCCCCAAATTTAAATATAGATCTAAATGGTGACGTTTTACATAAGAGCAAAGCTTGACAAATCCACTTTCCAAAGGCACACAGGACACTTTCCTTCATGAGTGGGGCTGATCTATCAGTTTATGAAGAATCTGAGCTTTCAATTAAAATAAAATTGTTTCACGATCTTGTGATTACAAAAATAACTTCTTGTAACATGAAATGATTCTTTCTAAATCTACAGACACCCTGAGGGAGGCTTAAGACTTATAAATCATACTCCAGACCATAGCCTGGGAGTTCCGTTGGGGTTGGGGTTGAAGGAATCCTTCCCCCTTGGGTCACTCAATAGCAGCACAGTTCCTCCATGTCTACTAGAAATCCAACCTCACAAATGAAGCAGCATCTCTGCCACTTGCACTCTTTCTACCTGGGGCGTGAAACAGTCAGCAGATCTGCATAACAACAGAGACTTCACAGGATCTGCACTGAATTCTTAATGTGCACACTGCAGAGCCGGGTCAACAAATGGGGGTGCATTCCCAGCATAGACTCACCCAGAATATAATATAACCATACTGATTTCACTACAAGCTACACCTCCATAGTCATGAAACAAGGTCCACTATTTGCTTGTAAGAGTGATGTGAACTAGAGCAGGTTGAAACACTTTAATCTAAATGAAATTTCTGTGTAATGTGCTGTATTGTTAATGCCTAAACGTTTTGTAGAGATATAGCATTTCCACAAAATTTTTCCAGGAAGGTTTTTGAGCCTGGGGCACATAGAGAGAAGAACTCTGCTCTAAATCAGACAGAGCAGAAAGATGAACCTGGACCTCCCACATCCCAGCCCAGTACACCAAGCTATAAAGTGTATAACGCATACATTCCCCTGACCACTCCATTTTCACAAGAACATACAAAAGATTTTTTTGCTCCAAAGTCAGTCAGCTCTATCTCCCATCATCAAAATGGGAGGGATAACCATGAAGTACCTGTGTTAAGTTTTACCCCCCAAAACCATTGTCTTAAGTTTCCAGGTTTCAACAGTCCCCTTCTGACTGCCCAAAATTTTCTATGCCCTTCAAACTCTGACTATAAGTACAATAAATATTGTAGGTACTGACCTGCTTATCATTTGTCAGGAGTTGCACAGAGAACACTAAATTTCTAAATATAATTGATTCATCCCACTCCCCAACACATCCCCTCCCTGGTTCTTTTCCCACCCTCCTCTTTTGTTTTGTTTGTCTAGTTGAGATTTGTTTGCAATACACCAAAATCTATATTGCTGTACAACTGATGGTGTATGTGCATGAGAAGCCCAGGACTAGAACAGCATGGATATTAGAGATGCTGTGGTAGAACTGTACTAGGAAGTCTGCACAATGCCTGCCCACATGAGAAGTAAAGGTAACTAAAAACACATCTTACGCTTACCTGTAATTTCCAATAGCCTGTCTGCTAGAGTGCTTTTGCCATGGTCTACATGAGCTATGATACTGAAATTTCTAATATTTTCAACAGGAAATATAGACATATCCAGTTTTTCCTGAAAAACATAAAATGTAGAGATTCCTATTCACAAAGAGATTTAGGGTGTAATTTCACAAATCAGGATGTAAAATGATACTTGTATACATGAAACTAGTAACTCCTCATTTCTTTGGGTTTTTTGGAACTTGAAAAATAGTTTCATCCTTATTTCTCCCCCATCTCCTCTTCCTCTCTGTTTCCCCCACAGGATTTGCATTGCCACTGAAGTCTGTTTCCGTAACTTGTACAAACATTTGTGAAATTAGTACATGAACAGCTACCATTAAATCTATTTACATCTTTGTCCCCTGATAGAACATTCATTAGAGTATTTTGAAACAGCTTTGCAAGTGTTTTAGCATTCTAAAATAATTCTGAGGACAAGCTAGGGAAAAGGGTAACTAGTGCAAGTGTTTCAGACACTAGGAGCTGAGATTAGGCTATGGCTCACCTATTCATTCTGTCAAGTTTAATTTCCAGCTACAAAAGTGTACAGGTCTGTCGCATATTACGTGCATTTAACATGCGCGATTTCAACTTTATGCTGTCGGCAAAAACAAAACAAAAAAAGAGAAATAACAATTTTAATACTATAGCTGTAGCGCGGGCGATTTCGCCCGCCATTGAACTCAATGGAATTTTGGCTATATGCGGTTTTCGCTTTACGCGCTAACCGCGGAACGGAACCCCCGCGTAAGATAAGACAGACCTGTAACCTGAGAAATTAATTCCTCTACACAATTAGTCTTTTGGGAACAGTTCCCCCAATAATTACTAAGTATCAATTCTATTCGAAACTACCAAGAGGAAGGAGGGTTAGAGGGCAAAGAAAAGACACACAAATACTTTTCAAAGACAGATTGGTCACCAACTTGCCAGTTCAGGCACTGGAAGGAGAAAGTTAGAAAGAGGGGACAGATAGGAAGAGGACCAAGTCACCTAAACCAAAATAAAATAAATCTGGACATGGTCCTTGCTTATGACCCTTTGTATATATTAATCAAGGAGTGTCAAACTTATTCTGGAGCAGACTGAATTCCATTTTTAGCTGTAATGAGAACCAGGGTATAAATTGAGGTCAGCATACTATGAACAATCCGAAGTGAAACGCCCACTGATATCAGCAGGTAGAGTGCAAAGACTCAGGGAAGACTCTGCCTCTACGTATTAAGATTTTAGTTAATTATTCAATATTTTATTGACCCATTCAGCAAGAAAATATGCTCAGCTTCATGATCCCTCCTATTTCTGTCTCTTCCTTCCTCATACTCCTTTGGTTCACTACCTCCTCTGCTTCTTTCTCCCATCTATATCTCTTTTCCTGCAGCAATTTACCCCCATCCTATCTGCTAATACATGCAAAATAAAATAATGCTGCTTTATAAAGTGACAGTCTTTGGTATTAACATCCCAATAAGTTTAATTGAAGTTGTGGGGTGTTAACACCTAACAGCTACTATTTCGAATTGTCTGCAGACTCAGGAAAAACAACAATGTATAAATGTTTACATTTAGAAAATACATTTATAACTATGACAACAAGAAATTTATTTTAACCTTAATAAAAGTTTAAATTCTGCAGAATATGACTATGTCAGCAGGCAATGTAAATACATCAAGTGATCAATCAAGTCCTTTTTGGTGGGATGTTATAAATTTCTGAAGCAAACCTTGCTCTGTGGCTGACTTTTAGCCTTCCTTAGCTACAAAGATTGTGCAACTGTGTCTCAGGACCGAATTATGTAAATTTTTAGGCAAAAAAGTCTTCCACTGACTTCCCTGGGTGCTACTTGTATAAGGACTGCAGGATCAGACCCGAAGTCTCCTATATATGGCATTTTGTGGGCCATATAACAGGCACTATATTGTGCATGCTGTAACTCATTTCCCCCCCCAAAAAAAACAATGCACTGTTTAGGGCAGGGATCAGCAACCTTTGGCCCGCGGCCCACCAGGGTATGTCCCCTGGCAGGCCAGGCAGGTTTGTTTACCTGCCGCGTCCGCAGGTTTGGCCAATCACGGCTCCCACTGGCCTCAGTTCGCTGCTTCAGGCCAATGGGGGCGGCGGGAAGTGGCGCGGGCCAAGGGATGGGCTGGCCACCGCTTCCCACCGCCCCCATTGGCCTCGTATTGGTGAACCGCGGCCAGTGGGAGCCGCGATCGGCTGAACATGCGGACGTGGCAGGTAAACAAACTGGCCTGGCCCGCCAGGGGACTTACCCTGGTGGGCCGCGGGCCAAAGGTTGCCAATCCCTGGTTTAGGGACGGCTTAGTCTCCAACTGCACTGAATTAGAGTACCATTAGAAGCAAAAAGCAATATTGCTGCTGGAATATGCTATCGTATTATGTTCAGCAGAAACAATGGGACCTGTTTTTGTTTCTTCTTTACAAGGGAAAAAGTGCATAAAAAAACCTCAGAACAGTAAATAGATAAGCTACCCTTCCATGTCTATTGCCAAACATTTTGGAGTCTTTTAAGCTATGGTAATACTAGCACTCTGCTTTGTTTTAAACGTATGCAAATATTGACTAATCACACCTCAAATACCCACAAGTTCAGTAAGACTTCCCATCTTACAGATGGGGAAACATAGATGAGGTTACACTGACCTGCCCAACTAGCAAGTGAGTGGCAGAGCCACAATTAGGACTCAAGTACCTAGGCTCCCAATTTGAGCTCAGACCATTAGACATAGTTGAGTTTCAAACTTTATTTCGAACCAGAGCAAACAATATTAAAATCCAACTGATTGAAAATAGGCAAGCACCAAAACAACATTTTTGGGAAATGACTGATATGGATATATTATCTTTGGAAGCAGTGAACTGACCATAATTATGCTTACAAACATGCCAGCTCAATACTGTTGTTCTGTATTCCAATCAAATTAGGTTTGTTTGTTACATTCTTGTAAGCCTTCTTAATGTTTAAAAGGTGCTAGATCAGTCATTAAGCTTGCTGTAAATGTTGGACATACTGTAATTTTATGAAAAATACAAAACTTGATACTTTTCCTGTGGGGTGACAATTACATATTTTGTACAATTTATGTTTATTTAAATTTCTTCAAATACAATTACCTATCCTCGTCAAGATAATCAATTATTCAGGATGCAGAGTGGTAGCCGTGTTAGTCTGTATCAGCAAAAAGAACAAGGAGTACTTGTGGCAGTTTATGGAAGTACTGCAAGATCAGTTGAGAGAGCTGAGAGTTTTAAGAGTGTAGCATAAACCACCTTTTACTAGAACTGACGTAATTTCAGGTAAGGGTGAAAATACAGAACACAGCTATACATAGCAGTGCCAGCCCAACCATGAAGACTCCCCATTCTCTTACTCATTAAAGTAAAAGCTTGAGTTGTGTGGGGGTTGTTTTGTTTTTCTGAGCTGGAGGAGAAGAGAAGGAGTGTGAACCATCCCAGCTTCCATGTATGGAAAAGACTCAAATTTCTTTGATGTTCCTGCTTGTTCTCTTACTAAAAACAAACTTTTTTAAAAAAGGACACTGGAAATTGAACCAGGAACCACAAATAACTCCTCACTAAAACATTCCGTATCTACACTGCAGCTACTATGCTGCAGCTGTGCTGCTATAGACTCTTCATAGGTCCATGTAAAAGGTTGTTTGTTTTTTTCTGCCAATATAGCTAATGTACTTCTCTCAGAAGCAGCAGCTAGATCATTGACTAACTGTGTCCACAGTGGGGGCTGACCTAACTATATTTCACAGGGCTTAAAATTTTTGTAGTCCTGGACAACATAACTAGGTCAACCTAAGTTTTGATGTAGACCAGGCCTTATACAGAACGAGGGGTCACGGAGGAGAAAAGAAAGCAGATGCTGGCCACTGAATATGCACAGAGATCCCTGCTATTATCAGTGAGTACCATTAAGTGACCTAGATCTGCTGTCCCTGTAACTATCTTATGACTGGTCTTCTCATGCTAGGGGAGGCGTGTGTCAAGAACAGGTCAGCAAGTCGCAACCATCCTTCCTATCCCATACTGCTAAATAGGAAAAGGGGTCACAACATAGAAATACTTGAGAACAAGTAATACTTGCTTAACAAGAAGGCCTAACTCACTCCGTTTAAATGCATACAGGGGTTAATCCTCTCAAACAGGGTGAGTTAAGCCTTCTTACTAAGAGTAGAAATAAAAGTTAAAGGGCCAAGAGACATCCACTTGGGTTAAAGGGATTTCCATCCCCTACCCGACAGTAGTACTAGTTTTCAAATATTGTATCTATTTCAAACAAAAAAGTTCATCACCTTCTTTTGGGAACTATAGGGTCTGGAGAACACAACATGATCCGCAGGGCATTTTTCCATGCACGGCTGAGAGCATAACAAAGCAGCAGTGCTACAGGCGCGCCGCAGCCTGACCCAGACCCCCGCTGCCCTGGTCACAAGCGACAACATGCTCCCAAAGGCAGGAATCACACGCAGCCCGCACTGAGGCAGCGGCCACGCGGGGCTCAGCCGCGGGCTCCGCAGAGTCGCCTCCGGACCAGAGGAGCTTCGGGATCCATCCAGGGAAACTTCAGCGGGACCTGCCCCGCCCACGGACAGCGGACGCGGGCCAAGGAGAGCGAGCCCGCTCCCGCGCCAGCCGCACCGGCTTGTTAGCGCGTTACCCCCCGTCCCTGCTCCGGGGGCCCGGCCGGCCCGGCCGCTCCCTGCTAACCCAACGGCAGCGGCGCGATCCGCAGAGCTCCGCCGGGGGCTGCGCCCGCAGGACCGGGAGCCGGGCGGCTCTCACCGCCAAGCTGCACGAGCCAGTCGCTGCCCAGGGCCAAGGCTCCAGTCCCAAGCCGACCCCGGCGCGCGCCTGACCCGGAAGCACAAGGACGGGACGGTGGCAGGAGGGACTGCGGCCTCTGTTGCACTGCGCATGCGCGAAGTCGGATTTAAGGCTGGTTGGCGACGCAAGCAACAGTTTTTTCTCCTGGCCCTGGCCCTGGGGCACCTCTACCCTGCGGCCTTCACACAGCCCACGTTAAGGCCACTTACAGCTCATGCCTGCGGCAGCCGTCTCCGGGGGGGTGCGTGTCCTCAGCAGGGTTGTTTTCACTGACCTAAGCGGCACAGTGTGGGGGGCTGAGAGCCTAGGCTCGCAAGTCCATAGCAGCTCCTCCCCCACCCCCTCAGAGCCTGGCTGCTCCCGGGGCTCCTGGCTCGGGCCCCCCCATTCCCTGCTGGGCTCCTGGCACCCCCCTGCTCTCGGGAGCGGCCCAACTCCTAGGGGGGAGCCTGGGCAGCAGCCAGGCAAGGAGCAGAGATGCGGGAGCAGCCCACTTCCAAATGGGAAGCCCCGTCAGTAGCTGGGCTGAGAGCAGGGACTGTCTTGTCAATTTTAGGGCTCCATGGAATTGGACAGGAAAGAATAACAGCTGACAGCCGGTGTAAGTAACACAGTGTCTACATGGACGCTGCATCTCATGGAGGTGGAGTTATGTCAGTGTAAGGAGGGCACTTACCTTGGCAGGACCAAGGCTGTACTGTGTTCACTGATATAGGTCAACATAAGCTAACTTACATTGACCTAACTGCATTGTAGACCACAGCTGAGTGATAACTGCTCTGTCTGTGCACCCCTTCCTCATGGAGCTGTGCACATCATAGCCCTGTTCGCTAGTCCCTACTGCCCCTCCCATCTGGGTGACACAGCAAGTCCCTCAAAGGGAGGCAAAGCTTCCCATTGGATTGGGCCCCCACATGCAATTTAGGTAGCCAAACACCTATCTTTCCCAGTTTGGGAACCAGTTTGGGTCTTAAGAGGGAGATAGGCATCCAGATAACTATCATGAGGCAGTAGTGTGCATGTTAAGATGGTCTGCTAGAGTGAGGCTACCACGTACCTGTCCAGAGGCAAAATCATAGGCCCCTACAGGGTTAGGTGGCAGCTGAGTGGGAGTTTTGTGGACCGTAGTGGTACCTAAAAATGAGAGTTAGGCACCTCAGTCCATTTGTGGATCCCACCCAGTTCCCTGACTAGAGGTCATTATTCCTTTTTTAATAAATCTGTTATTTTTAAATGCAAAACATGTTTTGATAAATATACTTGTTTTCTTTGTATTTAGCATACTTAAGGTGGTTTTGTTTAACTAATGAAAAACAATTTAAAAATGCAATTTTTGTGCATTTTTAATTTAATCCCAATTTCCATCCAAATGCAGCTTGACACAAATCACAAGTACAAAATTAATCACCTATTAAGTAAATGCATCCTTCACCATTACTAAAATAATAATAATATAAAAGTGAAGAATCTGAATAAATGTATGTTAATCTAAATAACTGATTAAATTTTGTATAGAAGAAGCAAAATTTGTTTAAAGGCTATCTTTAGCTGTAATGTTACTGGATGCCTTGACTTCTGTTAAATCATACTTTAAATTATAAATTCATCAGTAAAATTTTTAGTGCAGCAATGAGAATGAAATTCTTCTATACAAGAAAGAGCTTATTTTGGCCTTAATCCACAAATGGTACATACATGAATAAGGATCCATTAAGTGGATCCCCTTTCAGGATTTGGGCCTATTTTTATAAAGCTTTTCAGATGAAAGGTAATGAAGAAATATAAGGTTTATTAATAATATATAAGAATTATATACAAGAAAGTCTCTGCTATAGAAAACTTTCCTACATATGAATGGAGAAATAAGATAACTTGGCCCAACTGTTAATTCCTTACTCTAACATCATATTCTTCCAAAACAAGGTACATAATGGACCGTCTTTTTTTGGTAGAAATCCATTTGAAGTATTACATTTAATTAATTTTTAAAATTTCTTTTATCTGTTAACCACAAAGAAAATATAGGCAGTGTAAAGGAAATGTGAGTCAACCTTCTAAATAGTTTTTGTTTTCAATTTCAAAAAATAAAAATTCCTAGTATAAAAAAACTAGGAAAGCACTTTCTCTGCTCCTATGTATTAAAGTAATATACTTTTCTTTATTACCAGGATTCTCTTAGCACATGGAACTGTCCACAGATATGTTCTTGTGATCATTTCTGATTACATTTCCTTCAGTGTTTCTGAGAACTTTACACTGGTTTTATACTATACTATGTTATGTATAGTTTGAAATTACTTGGTAATAGACTTTCACTGAAATTCCTTCTGTGAGACAGGAAATCCTGGTCGAGTATTTTCGTCTCACTATTTGCCAAATCTCTTGTGTTATCAGATAGTTACATACTGTTCATAATTGTCTCACTATTGTCTTGTTTTCCCCCCATCTGTTTGTTGCATCCACCTGTTGTCTTTCATCTTATACTTGTAAGCTCTTCAGGACAGGAACTGCCTTGTTTGTATTTTTTTAAAGTGTGTTGCACAATAGAACCTTGATTCCTGATTAAAACTCCTAAATGCTACTACAGTATAAATAATAGTTTGTTACGTTGAAAGCATTTAATATTTTTTATATTTTTATCTGATGTGTTATCTGTCTACACCTAACCTAAAGCATAGCTATTTAAGCTTGTCCATTCTGCTTTAATAATAATTTTTTACAAGAAGAGTACTTAAAGAAAACTGTCACTCCTGTTTTTTCTTATGTTAAATATTGCAAATTGATCTTATTAAATCTTTCACATATTTCAGACTAGCTTGTGGTGATCTTTTTCTCTCTGTCTCATATCATTTTAGTATAATTTGATGATTGGTTTAACCTTGAATCTTAAAAGAACCGTTCAAATCCTCCCCTCCCCCAGTTTAACCCTTATCATATATTTTTAGTGTGTATGTTTTTTTCTTATATGGAAATATTGTATAAATGTTTCTCAGAGAGGCGTAAACATCTATGAGCCTAATTTCTCAGTTTAGATATATTTGATTTTCTATTCTCACTTGTCCAGTCTAATCAGGATTTCAGCTGTAATTGCATAGAATGTTTAGGTAATACCAGCATGCTACTCAACTAAGACAATTGCAAAGATTTGTATCAGATTCTTTGTCTAAAGACATGCCAAATAAAGCAAGACATACAGTATGTTTTGAGAGTAATGCCATTTTAGAGACAACTTAATAGGAGGAAGATAATGATTTAAAAATAAAATTGTGGTAGACTTTCATTTTAACTTCGTTATTTGGCCTAACAAAGATCATAATAGTATAAAACTATATGATAAATAGAAGCAAAAGCCTCACTGTTGCCTTTAATATCTATCACAAAGTAAGGACTCTTGAGATGTTTGTTTTTAACAGTTCTGCCTGCCCTGTATGTTTACCCTTGTTAATTACTACTAAAATTTGCTAGCTGTGTTTACTTCTGGAAAACCATTGATGGGATATTTGAAGTTTCTATGATACTGAGCCCAAGCATAAACTCAGGATAGCCAGAAGTAAGTATAGGGCTAAAGAATACCTTCCCTTTAAATCCTACTGTCACCATCTTCAGGCCCTACAGCATGACTCATCTCATTCCCATAATCTTTTCCCAAGTAACTATAAAGCAGATATCTGCAAAGCTGAATAAGAAATTCCTGTTTTTATTGCATGATATTTGTTACTTGAATAATACAAAATATTGTAAACAGACAGTATTGCCTGAATTTTGTGGCTTGCTGAGTGCTAGTGCAGAGGGTGCACTTGTGCTTTGCATAGTAGCACAGGGGGCATGCAGTTGCTCAGAGCTTTCACTAGTGTAGCTCAGTACAGTGTGCAGATCACACCAAACTCCTCTAGTCATTGGATAAGCAGACCCCCACGGAGCCATGAGATGATATAGGGGAAAAGAAAGGTGTTCTGGAAATGGAGAATGGGTATGACAAGGGCTGTGAATCCAGAAAAGCATGATCCGTAGGGTACAAATGAGGAGTATATCAGTCATTTTTCTGCAGCACGTGGATAAGTTAGATGACTTGCAAATGTTGGTTTAACTGAGTGTAGTGTTGCAGAACATATACACACACTTTCATTGCAAGAGCCATCCAGTAATAGCTGGTACCCTACACCAAATGTAACATGAGAACAACCACCCACCTTCCATTCAACTGAGAACTCACTTAGTATACAGCAGTATCTGTTCCCAAAGTACATACAATGGATATTGTCTTGATACATCATAAGACTGTTCAAGCAGAAGAAGGTACAAAATCACCAGACACAGTGTTTCTGAGTGTGTTAAAGGGATGTGTTCATGCATTTACGTAGGCCAATGGGGTGAAGCACCACAACGCTGTGTACACAACATAGCATGTATATGAGATCTGAGAGGAGCCCAGAAAAACAGCTCCCACAGATGAAGCTAAATATTGCATTCAGCAGACTAACACACAGTCATTACATGTGCAAGTAAACACTACAAGATGTATATCAAGGATCATGGAAGGAAGTCTGTGAGGAGATGATACAGTATACAGCATTGTATGGCTACACAACAATCTGCACAAAATAATCATATTACAAGGTGCAGTATTTTAAACACATAAGCATGGTAAGTGAGTAGCAAATCACTGAGTCAGGCAGAAGCATGGTAAGATGGTAGAAAGTCATTGTCATGTCATCCATCTTCACCTACTATTGCTAGGGCACATAAATATACAGTATGTAGGCAATGCTGAGATTGTTAGGCAGTTAATACACAATCACAATACAGAGCAATACACAATCAAACAATCCATGAGTAAGGTCATAAAAATATGTCCCAGTCAAAAAAACAAAACAAAACACATGCTAAAGTGTTAGAGCAAGATGCTTCCCTACATATAAATTTACGAGTGGTACATGGCTGGAATTTTGGGTCTTTATGATCCTGTTATGTTTGATGTGAATTACCACTTCAATTAACATATTCTGTACCGCACTAGCCGTTATAGGGGATATGAAGGTACTGTAAATA